TCTTAAGGATTGGGGCTTCTGAGTTTCCAACTTTTGGGCTTCTCCTACAATCAATCTGAAGAGACGAGTATGTTTGTGTCCACTCTCTTTGACTGTATTCTTGTTCGTCTTTATACCGGGTGGTACCTTATCCCCAAAGAACCTACTTAAGGAAGCCATAATAATAAAAAGCCCTAACACGGTAGGTTATTTGGGGTCCAGGTAGGGTCCAGTGAGTCTTTGTGGTGGGCTCGTCTTAATCACAAGCCTGACCTTCCCCATGCAAACGGGCCGACTCTGTGCGCTCCACCCCCTTCCCCAAGGGTCCAAAGGAACCAAAAACCAGGTACTTGGACTTAGGCTAATAGTTATGTAGGTTATCACTTTGGGAGTATATGATAGCTAAGGGGTACTTGGAGCCTTAGGGCTTGCTCTTTCCTGAAACCCTGGTTGCCGTTCCGATGTCAACGTAAACGGGTTTAGGTGCAAATGCGTCGTGGACCCTAGCTATTGTGGAACTATATATATAGGAACCCGACACAAGCAACCGTACGCTACGGTAGTCTAGATATAGACGTCTACATTCTCCCTAAACACTATGAGTGCTAATTTGGGGCGGGTGTTAACGATTAGAGTACTGCTTTGGGGTGTATTGCACTATAGTCCATAATGAGGATCCCCGAAATAGCATACTGGTTATGAATGTAATAAGAAATCCCAAACTAGTAATGGTAATTATTTAGGCCCCTACATTGATATGGGGAGCATAATATAGTTACCTATACTATTTGGGTGGCTCCTTATCATATTTACAGTCTAATGGGCCCCAAAACCCTTTTGTGATTATTAAGGCCCGTACACAATAGTACGCTTATATATACATCTATACATGTCCCTTAGAGTAACCCTTTAAAGGAAACCCTATTCTAATTTATTACAATTACAATTACCTATCAACCCTGCTAGGAGGGCTAAACCCTAAACCCTAAAGAGGGCCCAGATCAGAGCCACTCCAAGGCCTTCGAAGACCGCCCGCGAGAGCCTGCAAGCACTGTGCAGGACCGCCGCGTTACGTCCAGAGAAGGGACGATAGGGTTAAGGTCTCGCTGGAGGATCAGGGCTTAAAGGGTTTAGGGTGTAGGGGTTTAGGATTTTGGCTAGATTATAGGGTTTGAGGTTTAGGTTCAGGGTTTGAGTATGTATTTACGGATTCAGGATCAGGCCCTTCAGGTGTCACAATGTTGGGCTTTCTGTACTTTACCATGTTCTGGGATTGGACTTTACTTGTAGTCTCCGTTGTAGTTCCTGTTTTGGGTTACCTTATATGATTGTGAATATACTCATAAGCCAAAAAACGAACTAGAATGGAGACTGTAGGTAGGTCGCAAAGATTTCGGTGGGGTTCCTGGTAAAACCCTAAAACCTACTGTAAACCCGACACCTGGAAGCCTTGCATTACACATAGACAAAGCTTTGTCTAGCTAGAAGTCGAATATGATCATGAATTGGGCGGATAGCCGGATAGTCGAGGTTGTTGTGCGCGACCACAAGGGTTCCCTAAAGTGTTCTGTAAATGATGGTGAGGGTTACTATAAGGGCTAGCGTAGGTGCCACGATGTTTTTTTAACAAGTGGGCTTTCGGGTAGTATGGTGCACTGTACTTTGCCATACCGAAACCGAAGCAACAGTTGTCAAGTTGGCCAGTGACAAACCTCAATTCGAAGCTGATAAGATCTTTCAGGAGTTGCTACAGCGGTCGTGATCGAGCTGAGTACAGCGATTACTTCGGTTCTTTGATTAGACTTGTCATGAAAATACCCGAAAGCCAGATCTTATCTACAACGGCCGCTATACTAAACTTAACCCCTCTAGCAGCCCTTACATAACCCTCCTTGAACCCTGCAAAGAACCCTCACAAAGCCACTGTTCTCGTTAAACTTGGCGACATACGTTTGCAGAGGATTCAACTGACAACATGTAAACAGAAGGATGCGATGTTACGGCAAGAGCGAGAGACATGGTTGAGGACTTGAGGACCCCGAAACCCTTGCCCCCCCCCCGAACCCTGGGGTTTAGGGTTTAGGGGTTTAGGGTTTAGGGATTAGGGTGTAAGGTTTAGGGTCCTGAACTCAAGTCCCAAACTCGAAACCAAGTCCAGGAACTTGCAGCATTGCAGCCGAAAGATGCGGCCGCTGTTGCAGCAGCTGGCCAGGCGAGAGTTGGGTAGAGGGCCTTAAGCTAAGAGCTTTTAGGTTTAAGGGTTTCTAGGGCAGTAGAGTTTAGGTGTTAAGGCCTTTTTCGAGGATTTCAGGGTTGAGGGTCAGGGTTCTGGGTTTCACAGTTTACGGTTTCGGGTCACTTTGACAAGCTAAGGCTTCTTATGGTTGTTGATCAGTGATCTTCAACGATACGCTTCTCCGCCAGACCTCCATACTCGCATGATACCGTACGTTTAGCTTCAAACTATATATATATATATATATACTCGCTCACGCGGTGGATAGATACAGCACATGTAAAGACAGATCAAAGGATCGATGCACCATGAGCCAGGGAAACCATCGTTTCATCCATCTTTGCAAAGTTTGCCCGCAAGCTTTTCTCCCACCAGAGCTTCTAGAGCACGATCTCACGCCTCAGATCCTGAAGCCTGACGCCTCAAGCTTGAGACCGACATGTTAAACCCTACTTAACCTCGGCCTTCCCTCAACCCTGAAAGCCGTAAAGTCCAAAAACCCGTAATGTAGGAACCTGATTAAGAAACCCTGGGCCTTTATTAGGGTTCCTGATATGAACCCTACTATTGTGGGGTTATAGGTTTCTCAGTCAGGTTTCTACATTAAATCCTAAAGCCTTGAAAACCTTAACCCACCTTGTCGCGCCCCGACTCGGGAGGCATGCCTGGAGAAGGCGAGAAGCTGCTTTGGGGCGCATCCAGATGTCGGGATCAGATATCCTAGACTCCCAGACCTTCCAAATTCTTTTCTGTTACGGGATATACCTTAGTGGGATCCCTCTTATGGTTTCAGGTATATTCCTTAATTAAGGGATGTTGGAAGGTCTGGGATTATGGGGGCTTAGATGATTAGATATTAAGGGTGCGCTAATGCGAAAGCCTGATTGCCACTGCTATCCCTTCGGACTCTTTTTTCTATGCTTATACTTTCTCATTAAGTTTATGATACAACATACCTCCAAGTCCTATTCCAATTCCTCAAGCCCCTGTAGTCAGTTTCCTCGGTTTGCGAAGGTCCACCAGCTCAGCGCCCGAGACCTGGTCAACATCGTGCGGTCGCCTGCAGATCCTGCCTCCTGCCTGCATTCCGCAAGCCTCAGCACATTGTGTGTGTGTGTGTGTGCGTACATATATATAGAGAGGAGAGAGAGAGAGAGAGAGAGAGAGAGAGAGAGAGAGAGAGAGAGAGAGAGAGAGAGAGAGAGAGAGAGAGAGAGAGAGAGAGAGAGAGAGCGAGAGAGAGCGAGAGAGAGAGAGAGAGAAGAGAGAGAGAGCGAGAGAGAGAGAGAGAGAGAGAGAGAGAGAGAGAGAGAGAGAGAGAGAGAGAGAGAGAGAGAGAGAGACAGAGAGAGAGAGAGAGAGCGAGCGAGCGAGAGAGGGAGAGAGGGAGAGAGGGAGAGAGGGAGAGAGGGAGAGAGGGACTGTGTGTGTGTGTGTGTGAGTGTGTGTTTGTGTATGTGCGTGTGTGCGCGTTTTGGTTTTCGTCTGTCCATTAGCCTCGATATGTGAGTCGTTAGGGAGTACTTGAAGCTGAAACTAGTTGAAGGTAGCAAACAAGACGAATTTAAAGCAAGATGAGCAAGAACCCAGCAGACAGAGGGATTACAGGAGTTGGGATCAGGGTTTGGGATTCAGGACCTGGAAGATCTCAAGATTGATGACTCGTGTTCCAGATGTTGTCTGCCTTATGTGCATAGCGAGATATCCTAAACCCCAAATCCTAAGCCGCGCTTCTTCAGTTAATTCCATCTTCTGGAAGCGTGTTGACATTTTCATCCGGGCTTGCGAGGAGGTTGAACCCTTCTTGCCGAAGACGGCAGCTTCAGGACTACTCCTTCTAGATTCTACTTAGAGGATCATGGGACTTAGTAAGTAGGATATAATTGGGGTTGTAAGTCCCCTAAGTGGGGTTATCCTAATTATAACCTACTTATATCCTAACTTATTAAGTCCCATGAGCCTTCAAGTAGAGACCCAAGAAGCCGGTAATTAAGTCTAATATAGGGGCCTAAATAATTATCAATACTATTTGTTGGGGGTTCCTTTTTATATTTAGAGTATACTATACCCCCAAAGCGCTATTCCAATCACTAAAGCCCTCATATTACGCTGCCCTACACTGCACACCTTGAATGCCCTAAACCCTACTCCTTCAATGTGCCCTTGTCTATCAGAGTTTCGATGCCGAACCATTTTCTTTCCGGCAGACGACCGTGTCGTTAGGTATTCCCCTTGCTTGGGTGCCTGCTCATGTCATTCAGTAATGTAGGTTCCAGGCCCTCGATTCTTCACCTCCTTGTCATTAAGACTAGGATGATTATTCCTATCCCTATGCAGTGCCTACACTATATGGTGCTACCGTGGTGGTGGGTGAAGACGAGAAGCCTCAGTGCTCAAGTTCTTGCACTTTGCTCAGTTTGGTGACGCTTAGTGGTTCTACTGCAGTTCCGTTATGTTCCGTTTTTTCAACATTAGTGTAGCTGGCCCAGTCATGCCTATACGTTATATACATGTTCATAGTGCACGATAACTCAGATATCCCACAAGTATTCAACACCACCAGCAAAACCCTCAACCGTGAACCCTGACCTTATGCACAAACCCTAAACCCCAATTGTTAAATCCGAAACCCCAAACCCTTAAACCCTAAGCCCCTAAACCCTGAACCCTAAGCCCCTAAACCCCTAAACCCTAAACCCCTAAACCCTTAAACCCTAAATTCTTAAGCCTGGAGCCGGCCCTAGTTCCGGGTTTGAAGATTCAGGCTCTTCTGCACCGGCCATCGATGGCGGCCACTGCGCAAAAGCCCATACTGCTTCTGAAGTCGCAGGCGAGGACGTCCACTTGGGTTAAGGCTTTAGGATGGTGTAGGATGTATGGTTTGGGATTGTAACTATGGTATAGGGTTTATGGTTTAGGGTTAGAGCTAGTGCATAGGGTTTACAGTGTTTAGGATTTAGGGTTCAGGATTTGGGGATGTTGGTATACAGTAAACCCCATAAAGTTGGAAACCGGATTAAGGCCAAATAGTGCTGGGATTCCCTATACATTACTCTTAAGGATCGAGGCTATTGGGTTTCCAACTTTTTGGGCTTCTACTGTAGAAGGTTTGAGGGTTTTTAACGCTTGGGTTCCGGAGTCGGTGACGGTTGAGGCTCCGGGATTTACATTTGGGTGGTTGTCAATATTAGGGTTTCTCTTTGGGTCCTTATTATCATACGGCACCTAATATTTAGGGTACCCAAAGAGGGATACAGGATTAGGATCCCCAACCCTTAAACACTATAAGCTCCACACACCAAACAGCGTGCACCCGTCCCCCTGCCGAACCTCTTCTCCGCTCAGGATTGTCAGGGATCAGCGAACATGGTGCTACTCGGATAGCACTCCAGCTTTGATGTTTGAACCGGTCTTGCCGTGATCAGTATTTCCCAAACACCACGTCAGTGGCTCTTTCCAACCATGGCAGTTTAAAAGTGGGCGGGCAGTTGTCTATATCCGGCCTTGATGCTCTGCCAACATTTACAACGCACTGTGTGGCTTGGGTCCAAGCCCATACATGTCATCTTCGAGCAATGCCAGCCGTCGTATGCGATTGGTGGTCTTGGTGTTGCGATTCTCGTGGCCGCTACAAGTTTTTCATAGGTTGGGTACTGCCCCCACTCAATAACAGTTGGATAATATTCATAATATAGATATAGTAGGACCTTAATAGTAGCCCCATTACAGACTGTTACTGTATGGGGGGCAGTACCCAATCCATAGGGTTGGAGGGGAGCAAACCGAAGGAGCAACAAAGACACCGACATACGGCGAGGCAGGGACGGGGGAGAGACAGAAGCCACAGCCACATCAGAACAAGTCCACCTACGTCTTACCTTTGGTTAGTAGGGAATGGAGGAATGGGGTACAATTATAACTACTATTACTACCTTCCATTCCCTACTAACCAAAGGTAAGGCGTGCATCGCCAGACGCATGGGAGATGAAGCAAGAGCCCCCCCCCAACGCTCTGGGGGAAGGGCCAATCCGCAACCTACCGGAAGAGCCTGGAAGAGGTCATAGCATGCCTCGCTGCATTTGGACATGCAGTCTTCCGTTTCAACTTTAGGTAGCTTTTCGAGTTGGCTTCAGGGAACGCATTGTGAGAGCAGAGATTTAGATAGACCAGGTGCAGGGTTACTAGCGTAGGATGGTTCGCAGATGAGTGCTTCTCTGAATTAGGGTCCCCTTTTAGGGTCGTTTATTGAGGGTGTTGTATTATTATTATTATTGTTATTATTATTGCTTTTATTATTATTATTATTCTTATGTGTTTTTTGTTTTTTGGGGGGAGGCGAGAAAGGGACCCGAATTGAGAGAACTACCCAACTGGGCTCTTCCGGGTCCAGCCTCAGAGTCCTTCGAAGTTTTGGCACGGCTGAATCTCTCGAGGCATCGGTTATTGTACATATTCGCTTATTTCTTAACAAAGAGGTCTTTTCATCTTTTCATAAATTCTGCTTCCCTTATTTCTGGACGTAGAGCCCTAATTATAAGTACTATTTGGGACATGTTGAAATCCACACCTAGCCCAGGTTGGGATATGCTTCTCCAAGCTGCGCTGAGGATGCATGGACGCAGGCTTCTCAGTCATGTGACGGCTCAGCTATGCTCAGCTTCTGCTTGTGGCAAAGGCCCCCGATGCGCATCCCTAACCTTTACAATCTAGGGGCCTCAATAGATAGAGTAGGGTTTCAGGGTATATTATACCATAACTATAAAAAAAGAAACCCCCCCCCACAAGAAAGAAAAGTATGAGTAATTATTTGCTAAGGCACCTATGATAACCCCCCATAAAGGCTCCGCGCCGGTATGTCAAGCTCAACAGCCTCGAGACAGGAGTCGCATAAACTCTAACCAAGAGTCCAGGGTCCGTACCCCGAGAGCCCAATACCCCTTAGTTAAGGAATATACCTTAAACTATAAGGGGATTCATATTATGATTTAAGCTATATTCCCGAATTAAGGGGTATTGGGCTCTCGTGTATACACTCAACTATGGAATTACTGTGGGTCCCCAAAACCATAATAGGGATGGTCTTTTGGGACTTAACTCCATAATCGTTCTGAACAGGGCTTACCGTTATGATTAACCACCTATAGTCTCCATTGTAGTTCCTTGTTCTGTTTAACCACTTTCAATCGCAAGAACAAAAGGTAACCCCCCAAAAAAGGAACTACAATGGAGACTGTAGGTACAGTAAAATCCTGTGGGAGTTTCCGAAAATAGGGGACCCTAATCTAGTACCCTACATAATAGAATCCTTATCATAAGGACCCATATTATGAGGACCCAAAATAAGGTACCCCCTAATTTTCGGAGACTCCCATATATCTGTGGATCAGGCCTGCTTCTGCTCTCGCTATCGGGCTCGTCGTTCTTTCAATACCATGAGGTTCTGTAGTGTTTTATAAAACAGTGTTTTATAGTGTTTTATAAAACACTACTTCGTCATTTCAGAAGGTTTTTGCAAGGTTTCGGGGATAGGAGTTTCGGGCTTTGGGTAGCTGAACTCTAAACCCGAGGCTGGGTTTGGGGCGGTTGAGCTCTCGGGTTTCAACGGTTCCGAGCTTGGGCTTAGGGTACGGTTCGGGGTTTAGGGCTTTAGCCCGAAACCCGAAACCCTACAGGCAGGCTTAGGGTTCAGCATACCCTGGAGATCACAGGGTGATCGATTGCATGTCGTATAGGTGCCTTTTTGAATAGCAACCTCGGTGCCTTGGATTGACCCACCTTTTCAGAGTCCTGGATGCCCGTGCAAAGGTAAGGCCACGATTTTGTTGTAACCGTTTGAGCATTGATTTCCACCGCGCCCTCTGTGCGCCGAATGCCTAGAAATTGAAATGGCAATGCGTGAGGGTGATATCTTCGCGATTGCAGGACTCCGAGAAGGGGACCCCCCTCCCTACACTAAAATCCCATGATGTGGGGGCTGTCTTCGGGGTGTTTTACCATGGCAGTGCGGATATCATCATCTGACAACGACGATGGGAGAACCGGTCATTTGGGTTTGAAAGCCGAAATCCTTGCAACCGTAAATCCCAAATCCATTCTAGCACCCGTTGTAGTAACAGCTCTGCCATAGAGCTTATGGTCTATGGTAAGCCCTGTAATGGTCCTTGTAGTAACTTACTCGCCCCCTGAAGATTTCTTTGTGCGGAAGGCTCTGGCAAGCTGCCACAAGGATATCCATGAAGATGACATCGAGAGGTTTGAGGCACCTCCTTTGGGTTGAAGCTTCAAGTGCTTCGGTTGATGATATAAATCCTGCATTACCCATAATAAGGAATATACCATAATTCCCATAGTTTAGGGTCCTTAAGGTAATGCAGGATTTATATCATCAACCGTTCAGCCGGTATAGCAGCCTGAATACTTACAAATACTGTTTCGTAGGGGTCCTTGATTTATGTAGATATACTGTTAAAATGAATTTTCAAAATCCTATTCTACATCTTAAGGCCTTTATAGAACCCTTATAGATCCCTTTAAAGGAGCCCTTATAGAACCCTTATAGATCCCTTTAAACTGCATATTGTGGCTTTCAGGGCTTGTGGGGTCAGTTTAAGCTTGGACTGAGGGGCCTGAAGCCCCACAGGGGCGCAAAGCATGAGATGTGAAATGGGTGCCACAAGGCTACCCTGAGGCCTCAAAGTAGTTCCTTTTTGGGGTTCGTATATAGAATCCTATAAGGTACTCCCAAAAAGGAACTACTTTGGGGCCTATGGGTATGTAGATGTATAGATGTGTATATGTGCTGGCTGGCCAGTAGTACCCTTATTTCCTTTTTGTAGTCCTGGGTTCCTGATAAAGTTACCCAATACCAAAAGGGAGCCCTTTTTATTCCTAAGTTACTGGGAATCCTAGTGTGTGAGTGAGGATTTCAAGGTGCAGGTCATGTGCGGTTTTTGATCCGCCGTCGTGTGCATGTTTTGGGCCTTCCGCTGCTTCTCATCTGTGGGCAACTGAGGGTCCGACCGACGCCTAATACAGGGGCCTAGACGACTACCAATACTCTTTGCCATCGTTGGGTAACATTTTTTTTATTTCTATGGGTACCTAAACCCAATAAGGAATAAAAGCTCAAGTTTTTAGTCCTATCCCAACCATGAACTAGTACGACTGCGGGGTTCCTGAATATGGTTATAGTATGATGTACCCCCAAACCACATTCCAATTATTAAGGCCCCTATGTTATTCATTCGAGCCGGATTGGATTTATGGTTTGGTTAACCAAAATCTCTATTATAGGGTCCTAACCCTAAAACTGGCTAACCAAAAAAAGGAACTACAATGGAGACTCTAGGTATTCCTTAATTAAAGGGTTTTGGAGTCTCTGGGTTCGCCCAGCTCCGATCTGCTCCAGCGCGGGTCTTTGCCAACAGAGCTCGGATTCCAGGCGCGACCGGGGGGAGGGGGGGGGGGTGTGCGGCTTAAACCGGGTTTATTTGGAAGCTGGTGCTTGCACTCTAGATAGGGAAACAGTGACCTAAATCCCTTATATATAAACAAGAGCCAGCTTCCAAATAAACCCGGTTGGGGGTCCCGGGCGGGGACAGGGCCGGGAATTAAATAATTTAAATAATTTAAATCCTGGCCGGGGGGGTTCCCGGGGGCCCCGGGCCCCAGGATTTAAATAATTTAAATAATTTAAATCCTGGGGAAGGGCTCCGGATTTAAATTATTTAAATTATTTAATTCCCGGGGCCCTGGACCCCCGGGGACCCCTCCCCTTCAGGATTTAAATTATTTAAATTATTTAAATTATTTAAATTATTTAATTCCCGGCCCCATTTAAATAATTTAAATAATTTAAATAATTTAAATAATTTAAATAATTTAAATCCTGGCCGGGGGGGTTCCCGGGGGCCCCGGGCCCCAGGATTTAAATAATTTAAATAATTTAAATCCTGGGGAAGGGCTCCGGATTTAAATTATTTAAATTATTTAATTCCCGGGGCCCTGGACCCCCGGGGACCCCTCCCCTTCAGGATTTAAATTATTTAAATTATTTAAATTATTTAAATTATTTAATTCCCGGCACCATTTAAATAATTTAAATAATTTAAATAATTTAAATAATTTAAATCCTGGCCGGGGGGGTTCCCGGGGGCCCCGGGCCCCAGGATTTAAATAATTTAAATAATTTAAATCCTGGGGAAGGGCTCCGGATTTAAATTATTTAAATTATTTAATTCCCGGGGCCCTGGACCCCCGGGGACCCCTCCCCTTCAGGATTTAAATTATTTAAATTATTTAAATTATTTAATTCCCGGCCCCATTTAAATAATTTAAATAATTTAAATAATTTAAATAATTTAAATCCTGGCCGGGGGGGTTCCCGGGGGCCCCGGGCCCCAGGATTTAAATAATTTAAATAATTTAAATCCTGGGGAAGGGCTCCGGATTTAAATTATTTAAATTATTTAATTCCCGGGGCCCTGGACCCCCGGGGACCCCTCCCCTTCAGGATTTAAATTATTTAAATTATTTAAATTATTTAATTCCCGGCCTTATTTAAATAATTTTAAATAATTTAAATAATTTAAATCCTGGCCGGGGGGGTTCCCGGGGGCCCCGGGCCCCAGGATTTAAATAATTTAAATAATTTAAATCCTGGGGAAGGGCTCCGGATTTAAATTATTTAAATTATTTAATTCCCGGGGCCCTGGACCCCCGGGGACCCCTCCCCTTCAGGATTTAAATTATTTAAATTATTTAAATTATTTAAATTATTTAAATTATTTAATTCCCGGCCCCATTTAAATAATTTAAATAATTTAAATAATTTCAATAATTTAAATAATTTAAATCCTGGCCGGGGGGGCTCCCGGGGGCCCCGGACCCCAGGATTTAAATAATTTAAATAATTTAAATCCTGGCCGGGGCCCTCCCCCAGGATTTCAATTATTTATACTGTTTAAATGGGGCCGGGAATTAAATACCACCCCCCCCCACCTACCCTCCCTCACCCAGCCCTGCCACCCACCGACCCTCAGCGCCCACCCAGCGTCCCAACCCCCCCCCACCCACCCTTCCTCCCACTTCACACTCCCTCCACCTCCTGCCCACCCTACCTCCCAAACACCCTCCCACCACCCTCTCACCCACCACTTCAAGGGCTAGGGATCCCACACATCTGCGGGCAAAATCTGGCGGAAGTGATCCGCCACCGAGCAAAAAGCCTGTAAATACCGCATTAAACGAAGGGCCAGGGATTTCACACATCCGTTGGCAAAATCTGGCGGAAGTGAGCAGTCGGTACCTCCGCCAGATTTTGCCAACAGATGTGCGAAATCCCTGGCCCTTTGTTTAATGCGGTATTTACAGGCTTTTTGCTCGGTGGCGGATCACTTCCGCCAGATTTTGCCCGCAGATGTGTGAGATCCCTTGCCGTTGTTTTAACGCGGTATTTACAGGCTTTCTGCTCGGTCGCGGCTCGCAGGGATCAGGGGGACACCCCTTGCGCCCTGTGGTTTTCTGATCTGAGTTTTCACAAGACCTTAGGGGGACACCACTTGCGATCTATGATTTTGGGATCTGAGTTCTTACACAACCTTCCCTCCACCTCCTGCCCACCCTACCTCCCAAACACCCTCCCACCACCCTCTCACCCACCACTTCAAGGGCTAGGGATCCCACACATCTGCGGGCAAAATCTGGCGGAAGTGATCCGCCACCGAGCAAAAAGCCTGTAAATACCGCATTAAACGAAGGGCCAGGGATTTCACACATCCGTTGGCAAAATCTGGCGGAAGTGAGCAGTCGGTACCTCCGCCAGATTTTGCCAACAGATGTGCGAAATCCCTGGCCCTTTGTTTAATGCGGTATTTACAGGCTTTTTGCTCGGTGGCGGATCACTTCCGCCAGATTTTGCCCGCAGATGTGTGAGATCCCTTGCCGTTGTTTTAACGCGGTATTTACAGGCTTTCTGCTCGGTCGCGGCTCGCAGGGATTAGGGGGACACCCCTTGCGCTCTGTGGTTTTCTGATCTGAGTTTTCACAAGACCTTAGGGGGACACCACTTGCGATCTATGATTTTGGGATCTGAGTTCTTACACAACCTTCCCTCCACCTCCTGCCCACCCTACCTCCCAAACACCCTCCCACCACCCTCTCACCCACCACTTCAAGGGCTAGGGATCCCACACATCTGCGGGCAAAATCTGGCGGAAGTGATCCGCCACCGAGCAAAAAACCCGTAAATACCGCATTAAACAAAGGGCCAGGGATTTCGCACATCTGTTGGCAAAATCTGGCGGAAGTACCGACTGCTCACTTCCGCCAGATTTTGCCAACAGATGTGTGAAATCCCTGGCCCTTTGTTTAATGCGGTATTTACAAGCTTTTTGCTCGGTGGCGGATCACTTCCGCCAGATTTTGCCCGCAGATGTGTGGGGTCCCTGGCCGTTGTTTTAACGCGGTATTTACAGGCTTTCTGCTCGGTCGCGGCTCGCAGGGATTAGGAGGACACCCTTTGCGATTTGTGATTTTGGAACTTATTTGTTATAACAACCTTTAGGGGGACACCACTTGCGATCTGTGGTTTTCGGGTCTGAGTTGTCACAAAACCTTGGGGAGACACCCGTTGCGATCTGTGATTTCGGGATCTCCGTTCTTACAAAACCTTGGGGGGGACACCCCTTGCGATTTGTGGTGTTGGAATTCATTTGTTATAAAAAGCTTTAGGGAGACACCCCTTGCGATTTATTGTTTTGGAACTTGTTGTTTCAACGAACCCTTAGGGGGACACCCCTTGCGATCTGGGTTTTTGGGATCTGAGTCTGTACAAATCTTGGGGCGACACCCTTGTGATCTGTGATTTTATCTGTGTTTTTTGCAGAACTTCAAGGAAAAAATTTCTTGCCGACGCAGGGGTAGATGGAGCTCTCTTGTCTTTCGTGAAGTTGAAGGGGCCTGTCTGCTGTGCTGAGATGGACCTCTCTCCCGTCTCATTACATGGGAGGAAGCTCTCAATCATTTCTTGTGGAGGATGAAGTAGAAGACTTTTCTTTTTGGAAGCAAGGGGAGCCCTGGCTTCTCTTGCTAGGAGCGAAGTCTCTTCAATCTTCTTAAGATAAACGCGACTTACCAAGAGGTAAAGGCTCTCTCTGCTCAAATAAAGCTCTCGTCGCTTACCAAGAATAACTTGGAGTGAGCTCTCTTCCTGCTTCACAGCAGGGTAAGGTAGAGGGCTTGGGCTTCTCGTCTCGTTTTGAAGGCCACGGGGAGGACCGGCCATTCTCTTGTCAAGGATTGAAATTTGGAAAAGCTCTATCCTTCCTTCCTGATCGTACGCTCCCTTCCAAGTTTTTATCTCGAGGAGGAGATGTTCAGGAGCTGTCGCTGCTGACGAACAGAGAAAGAAGTTTTCTTCTTATCGCCAGAGAGGCAGTCGGAGCTCCCTTCTTTCTCGTGATGCGTTGTTCTTTTGCCACGAACAACCTTTGGGGACTGTTTTCTTGCTTTGGAGCATGAGGTCTTTTCTTTTGAAGGCTGGCGACTCAGGAAGGTATAAGAAATCTCCTCTAGGGAAATCTGCTCTTGCCAAGAATAACTAGGAATGAGAACGCTCTGTCCTCACCTCTTGAGAGATATCTCTCTTCTATCCTTTGGAGAGGAAGTGGTGGCAACATGGAGAAGTTAGAAGGGTTTCTTTCTTGATTCAGAGGGTGGGGAAGAGGGCTGCTCATGTCTTATTGAAGGCTGAGGGGAGGATCGGACTCTTCTTTTGTCGATTGAGAGAGCTCTGTCCTCACTTCTTGAGAGCTATCTCTGTTCTATCCCTTGAGGAGGAAGAGGGGACGACAAGGGGCTCCTCTCTCTTCTTGTCGACTAAGAGGCAGCCGCAGTTCTTTTTGAAACTGGAGATGCTTTGAGCCCTGTCTTCTTCGACTAGAAGCGAGCTCCCTTCGATTCTCTTCAGAGGAGATGGAGACCTACCAAGAGAGGGAGGCGCTCGCTGCTAGAAATCAGCCGAATGACTTGGAGGGACTCTCTCCGTGTTTTCGTTGAGGGTTGGGGGAATCCCTACCGTTTCTTCTTGAGCGTCAAGAAAATAACAGGATCTCTTTCCACTGCCAAGAGAGAAAGGAGGTATCTTCTTCTTGTGCGTATGCTGTTTTCCATCTTTTGAAAAGGTAAGGGAAGTAATCAGGATCTCTTTCCACTGCCAAGGGAGAAAGGAGGTTTCTTCTTCTTGTGCGTATGCTGTTCTCCATCTTTTGAAAAGGTAAAAGAAATGCTCAAGATCCAACCCCTTATGAAGAGAGAAAGGAGTTATCTTCTTTCCGACCGATGGGTAAACGGAGACCTCTGAATTCTCGTGAACTTGGAGGGGCCTGTCTGCTGGGCTGAGATGAAGCTCTCTTGCGTCTCATTACATGGGAGGAAGCTCTCAGTGATTTCTTGGGGAGGATGAGGTAGAAAATCATTCTTTTTGGAAGCTAGGGGAGCTCTGTCTTTGTTGCTAGGAGCGAGGTCTCTTCAATCTTCTTAAGACGAAAAGGCGACATACCAAGAGGTAAAAAGGCTCTCTGCTAGAAGGATGCTCTCTTCTGTTGCCACGAATATCCTGGAGCCTCTCTTCTTGTTTTGGAGCATGAGGTCATTTCCCTTTGAAGGCTGAGGGACGACCAGATGTCTCTGTTTGAAAATTGGGGGGAGCTCCACCCTTTCTTCTTGAGTTGGGGGGAGCTCCACCCTTTCTTCTTGAGTGTATGCTCTCTTCCATTTTTAAAACGGCGACGGAAATAATCAGGATCCCCTCCCCATATCAGGAAAGAAAGGAGATCTCTTCTTGCCGAAGGGTAAACGGTGCCCTCTTCTTTCTCATGAAATTGGAGCGGCCTGTTTGCTTTGTTGAGATGGCGCTTTCTTTTGTCCCATTAGTTTGGAGGAAGCTCTCAGTCTCTTCTTGTCGAGGATGAGGCAGAGGGTTTGTCTTTTTGAAAGCTAATTCAGAGCATGGGGTAGAGGGCTGCTCATGTCTTGTTGAAGGATGAGGGGAGGATCAGACTCTTCTTCTGAAGATTGAGCGAGCTCTGTCCTCACTTCTTGAAAGCTATCCCTCTTCTATCCCTTGAAGAGGCAGAGGGGACGACAAGGAGCTCCTCTCTCTTCTTGTCGACTAAGAGGCAGCCGCAGTTCTTTTTGAAACTGGAGATGCGTTGAGCCTTGTCTTCTTCGACTAGAAGCGAGCTCCCTTCAATTCTCTGCAGAGGAGATGGAGACCTACCAAGAGAGGGAGGAGCTCGCTGCTCGAAATCAGCTGAATGACTTGGAGGGACTCTCTCCGTGGTTTCGTTGAGGGGTGGGGGCATCTCCGCCCTTTCTTCTTGAGCGTATGCCCTTTTCCATCTTTTGAAAAGGTAAGGGAAGTAATCAGGATCTCTTTCCACTGCCAAGGGAGAAAGGAGGTTTCTTCTTCTTGTGCGTATGCTGTTCTCCATCTTTTGAAAAGGTAAAAGAAATGCGCAAGATCCAACCCCTTATGAAGAGAGAAAGGAGCTATCTTCTTTCCGACCGATGGGTAAACGGAGACCTTTGAATTCTCGTGAACTTGGAGAGGCCTGTCTGCTGGGCTGAGATGAAGCTCTCTTGCGTCTCATGACATGGGAGGAAGCTCTCAGTGATTTCTTGTGGAGGATGAGGTAGAAAATCATTCTTTTTGGAAGCTAGGGGAGCTCTGTCCTTTCTTGCTAGGAGCGAGGTCTCTTCAATCTTCTTAAAACGAAAAGGCGACATACCAAGTGGTAAGAAGGATGCTCTCTTCTGTTGCCACAAATCACCTGGGGACTCCCCTCTTGTTTTGGAGCATGAGGTCTTTTCATTTTAAATGCTGAGGGATGACCAGATGTCTCTACTTGAAAATTGGGGGAGCTCCACCCTTTCTTCTTGAGCGTCCTCCCCTTTTCAAGAAAGAAAGGAGGCCTGGGCTGGGCCGGGCTGGGTTGCGGCTTGGGCTGGGACTGGGCTGGGCGCGATGGCTTACTCCAGCTCGCCGGTACCAGTCAGCCTGCCTTCCTGGGAGAGTCTGTGATTACTCCAGAACCCGAGTGTGCCTGCCTTCCTGGGAGAGTCTATGACTACTCCAAAACCCGAGTGTCAGCTTCCAAATAAACCCTATTTAAGCCGGCCACGGGGGGGGGGGTTTGGCATGGTACTCTAGAGGCCATAACAAGTACCAATCTATTTTAGGGGGTTCCTTAGTATCGTTATAGAAAAACAAACCCCCAAATCCTATTCTAGTTCTTAAGGCCGCTTTGTTACTACTACCCTACAGTAGAGCTGTAGATGTCGAACCCTCGAATGCCCTGGCCCACAGAGTTTACCCAAACCCTGAAGCCCAAACCTATTTTCAAGCCTTAAGTGCCTGAAACCAAAATCAGATACTTGGAGGATCAGGGGACTTAGTAAGTATGTTTGTAAGTCCCCTAATTGGGGTTATAAGTACTTATAATTATATGTATAATTACCCCATTTATAACTCTAGTTACTAAGTCCCATGATCCTTTAAGTACCCAGACCGGGAGCCCTGAAACCTGCCCCATGGTGCAGGCAAAGACTTGGGCTGTGGTTGATGGCGGTTCATGTTGTGCTATGGTGCTTCAGAACTGCACCGTTCTTGGGAGTTCTTGGTAAAATGTCTGAATTGATATGTGTAAGTATAAATTACAGTGTCGATACCAATCCTCATCTGTAATGACTGCGCCGCAAGGTCAAGTGACATGCCTGCACATGTGGCTGTTGCTGTCACTGCTGCTGCCTCCCAACCCGAACTCTAAACCCTACACAACCTTGAACTCATGCACCCTCGAAGCGAAGCGCTACCCGCAAACGCGCCAGCCAAAGGGAAGACGCGGCTCGGGTTTGGGCTTACAGTAAAAACCAGAAAGTTGGAACATGGTTTAAGGATGATTAGTGCTGGGACTCCCTGTATTATACCTCAAGGGCGTGAGGAACATGATGTTCCAAGTTTATGGATTCTATATGGATTCTACTATAGAGCTTTAGCAATTTGGGTCTGGGGTTTACGGCTTGCGGTTTGGAGTGCACAGTAGGGTTCAGGGCTTCGGGGTTCAACGTTTACGAGAATACTGGGCCTCATCGTCTCGCAAGAGGTTCAGAAGCATGCACGAGGATCCTCATATGTACTAGGATGCCCAGTAGTACCCTTGTTCCCTTTTTGTAGTCCTAGGTTCCTTATAAAGGTACCCAATACCAAAAAGAGAGGCCTTTTTATTCTTAGGTTACTGGCTATCCTAGAAACCAGGTGAATGTCAACATTACTAGAATGAACAGTAGTATGTAAGATAGTCTGATAGTAACCAACTATTTTTCCTGTAGTGCTGGCAATACCTGCAAGAAAATCATTAGCAGCATTCACCATATGTATCTGATACAGTAACTATACTGGATTGTGGATATCAAATTATATCGAGCATAGGGACAGCACAAATGATGATGACAACGACCCTTGATATCGAGACAGTCGCAGACTGCGAGCCGTGATGATCAGCACAAGGAATTTAGCTTCGGTGGTTAGTCGCCTGCTAATAATTCAGGGCCCTACTACACCCACTCCAGCCCTAGATCTTCATGAAGAAACTCGACGGTTTAGGGTTTAGGGTTTAGGGTTTAGGGTTTAGGGTTCATGAGTCTTGGCAGCAGCATTAAGTAGCCGTGAAACACCTTCCGAAGGAGCCATGGTGACCAGGGAGGCGTCGCCGATGGCCACCCTTGCGGTGGAGGCTCAGGGTCGAGGTTTAGAGGCTATAATAACAGTAATAGTAATACTAGTAATAGTAATCATAGTAATAAGGTTCCAATAGTAATAATAATAGTAATAGTAATAGTAATAGTAATAGGAATCATAGTAACAATAGTAATAATAGTTTTGTTTAGTCGGTTACGTTTAAGGGGTTCAGGGTGTAGAGTGTAGTGTTTGGGGTTTTGAGGGTACTAGGCAGGTTGGGGTTCAGGTGGAGGCACTTACAGTTGAGGGTGTAGGGTGCAGCGTTTGGGGTTTTAGGGCTTAGGGTGTAATGTTTGGGGTGCTGCCTAGGATAGTCTACGCCCAACTCTTGCAAACTTCCGCCCCAACGAAATCGCAAAGAAAGCTTGAGCAAAGCAGAACTTCTCAAGGCCACCCAGCGCTGGCACGCGTGACTTTCCATGCAGCTTGATAGGTCCTGAACGGAGCAGCCTGAGCAACATAGGGGGCTCTGCTAAAAGGATGCGAGCGGGTGTTCCTGCTATATGGGTGGTTGTCAAAATGATGGTCCCCTTTTAGGTCCCTATTATAGTGCGGCAGCTAATAAGGGTACCCAAGAAGGGACCATAGTTTTGACAACCACCCATATCCAAGAAGCGAGTCATGTGATCGAAGTCAGAAGAACATGAAATGAACAGCCCTTCTTGGCTCGCCCATCTCACTCGGTGCGCGCAGCCCCTAAACCCTATTATCCGGCCCTCAAGACTTAAAACTTACCTGTACTATTTGGGTGGTTCCTTATTGAAATTACAGTATCATGGGCCCAAATACCATATTCTAACTATTAAGGCCCCTACATCAAGTCCTCATAATAGCCCTTCAACATTTAAAATGAGCCCTTTAGGGGAACCCTCTTCTAATGTATTGGGGCCCCTCTACTAAACCAGCAGGCTAACATGATCGTGAATGAGTTCGAGCCACGAGATCTTTGTCGCATGGCCTGGGCGTCTCGTGGCTCACAGTTTAGGGTTCAGGGTTTCGGGTGTATAGGCTTTAGGGATTTAGGGTCTCGGGTTTAGGGGTTTAGGGTCCAGTTTAGGGTTTCGGGTTGAGAAGTTAGGGATTTAGGGTCTTCTAGGGTTTAGGGGTTTAGGGTCCAGTTTAGGGTTCAGGGTTCCGGGTTTAGGGATTTAGGGATTTAGGGTCAGGGGTTTAGGGTCCAGTTCAGGGTTCAGGGTTTAGGGTTCAGAGAACTACAGCTTGAAACCCCAAAGTGAGGCTGAGCAACCTTGAAACATGAAAGATCCAAAGCTAGCTTCTAGAAGACATGAACACCTGAAAAAACTTTGTGACGACCTTGGTCACGGACATGAACCGTGGAGATGTACCCTTACTTCTGTGATGTCAGCGCTTGCAAGATTTGGATGTTGGGCCCGCTAGGATTGCAACGGTTCAAACTCTTCTGTGGTTGCAAAGGTTCAGGGCTACTGGCAAACAACCTAGGCCGCACCCCAAATCCGCAGCTAAACCCTGAACCCTCAACCCTATACCAAACCCATAGGCCCCAACCATAAACCCGATCCCTACCTGGACCCCAAATAACCTACCTTCTTAGGGCTTCTTATGATGGTGTCCTTATATAAGTCCCTGAAAAGGTGTTGTTATTTGGGTTGAAGGTCAGCCCTAGCCCTGAACTGTCCCGAAATCCAAACCGGGAGGTTCATAGGTCTCAGAGCTGGGTCTGACTGTTAAACCCGAAACCCTAAACCCCTAAACTATAAACCCCTAAACCCCTAAACCCCTAAACCCTAAACCCCTAAACCCCTAAACCCCAACCCCCTAAACCCCTAACCTAAACCCTAAACCCTCAACTACACCCGCAAACCGATGAACACCTGCCAAAAGCTCCAGGAGCCGCAAAGCACAACACCTACTTGGAGGGTCAGGGGACTTAGTAAGTAAGGTTATAAGTACCCTAATTGGGGCTATAAGTATAGTTGCCAAGTTACTACGTCCCATGATCCTTTAAGTAGAAGCTTGCATCCCAAGAGTCGGATCAGGGTTTCCGAAAATTGGGGGTACCTTTGAAGGGATCCTTCAAGGGTTCCTTAAAGGGATCTATAGGGGTTCTATAAAGGGCTTAGGGCTACGGGCTACGGGTTTTACAGTTTCCGAAAATTGGGGGTACCTTCTTTTGGGGGCCTTACAATAAGGATCCTACTATTGAGGGTACTATATTTTGGTCCCGTGTTTTCCCAAACCCTCAGTCCTTTCAGGAGTGGGGCCCTGCACTCTAAGCTCTCAGCCCCAGACCCTTTTTGAAGACGGGGGTCGGAATAATCGAAGAAGCCCTGAACAAAAACACGTAGAACCCTCTAAGGCCCGCTCTGTCGGGAGGGCTACTTATAAACAATTTGTATTGGGGTTACTGTAATCCCTAAGAGACAGCTGAAGATTTCAGTTTTGCTAGGGACCCCAGTGCAGTATAGTTAGGGCTGGGTGGGGTCAAGGCGGGCCTTAAGGAACAAAGCCCGAATCCGAAACAAGCTTGGCCCCGGCAAGTGGCAAGTCCCGCAATCTGAAGCCCTGAAACCGAAGGTGGGGCTTCTTACATGGTACGGGGCACCTTATATGCTTCGGGGGCTTAGGGTTTGGGGGTTTAGGGTTTATATACTTCGGGGTTTGTCGGGGTAGGTTCAGCCGCCTGACGACGCGCAGAGCTAAACTCATGGATGCCATTGGCACCTGGACTTGCATTTATTTCATCTACATGTACATAGTCGTATACATTGTGTGTACATGTCATAGCTTCAGATATAGATACAGAAATTATGTACATGAATATGAGTGTGTGTATATATATATATATATATATATGTAAGTGCAAACATGTCTGTATACATTCGCATGTATGTACCTGAGTTACCCCACCATCGACCTGCAGATGGCGGGGGTCAGCATTTTATATAAATACAAAGGATATATATATATATATATATATATATATATATATATATTTATTTATATTTATATTTATTTATTTATTCACAAAATATAGATGATAGATGAAGAGCTAGGTAGGTAGATACTTATATAGATAAAGAGATAAAGCAGATAGGTAGATAGATCGATAGATAGAGAGCGAGCCAGAGCGGGAAAGTTTGACGACAGGCACACATACATAAGTGTGTACCGATGTAGCTGCTGGGCATTTATCTGTATACACGACTACCTCGAGTTGCAATTACTTCTGACGCAGCCAGGGTTGCTGGAACCGTATTTAGAACGGCTACACCAGTGATGTACTCAGCACCGCCAATTCTGAGTCGCGACTTGGGTTCGTTCATGTCGGCAAGGGAACACACGCGCGCGCACAAACCCAAGCACACACACACACACAAATATTATGTATACGTATACGTATATGTATATGTATTTGTATATAGACATAGATAAAGACATGTACACGTAGGTGTATGTACACGTAGGTGTATTCATATATGTATATATATATATATATACATATAAATATATAAATATAAATATATATATATATATACATACATACATACATACATATATATATATATATATATATATATATATATATATGGTGACCATATATATGTATGCACACGTTGAGGTGCATGCGTGTTTATGTGTGTGCATAGTCATATTTGTCTATATACATATATATATATATATATATATGAGCATGTGTTACACTTTTGTATATGTTCATGTGTTTACGAATGTACATATGTATGTATACATGTCTCCACGTATGTGTGTTTGTATACATGTATATTCATACATGTGTGTATATGTATGTTGTATGTTTGTATTGATGTATACTCATACATACGTGTATATGTATAAAGCTTAACGTAAAAATGCATATATGTGTACATGTACGTATGTATGTATGTATGTGTGTATGTATAACATGCATGCATCTATGTACAAGCATACATACATACATACATTCACACATATACAGGCACAGCCATCAACACACACACACACACAGAAACACACACACACACACACTTTCTCTCTCTCTCGCAACACACAAACACAAACACACACAGACACACACACACAGACACACACACACACACACAGACACACACACACACACACACACACCACACACACACACACACACACACACAAACACACACACACACACAAACACACACACACACACACAAACACACACACACACACACGCGCGCGCGCGCGCGCGCGCACGCGCGCACGCGCGCGCACACACACACACACACACATTGCAGCACCCTCGATGCTTCACCATCATGACAGCCTCAACTCTGTTGTGAGACGGAGCAGTGTCAGACATCAACAATGCAGCCGTAAGTAGGACTGGAGCAACGCAGCCACATGTATCAGCATCAACAGTTGGAGGAGTAGCCGTCAGTTAAACTGTGGAGCAGTGGACAAATGCTGAGCACTGAAACCTTTCGAACGTGGCAGTGATGTTGTCGAAGCAACACCCTGAACATGGACCCAAACCGTACACCCAAGGTCCGTGGAAACCTCAACCTAAACTGTATGCCGCAAACCTTTTCGTTTAAAGTTTATGGATCTTGTATGGAATCCTGAAAAGGATCAAGTAAAACAGCATCATGACCGCTGCTAAGGCGAGCGAGTTTTGACCTCGCCAGGCTTCCACATCGAGGCCCGCCGCAGATCTCGAACGCTTGACCTTTAAAAGGGTTGAAGCTTCGGGTTTGAGGGTTTAGGGTTCAGCGTTTCAGACTATGGGTGTTTTATGTTGGGGGATTTAGCGTTGAGGCTTGTAGGCTACTATACCCTAAACCCGTTTTGGGGCAAAAACTGAGATTGCCCCTTGCCCCTCCACCTCTTCGTTTACCCCCATGTGTCTGGCATCTCCCACCACCACCAGCGCCGCGACGGCAACCCGCCGAAACAATAAACCCGACACCCAAACCGCAAACCCCTAAAACCTAAAGCTTAAGCCCAAACCCTTTGTAGAAGCATAGATCCCCTCATAGATCCCTGATAGGAACCCTTATAAAGCCCATAAACCCTAACCCCTTGTCGGCCACATTGCTAAATGCCATACAATTCTCCAGCCAATTCCGGCACAGTCGATCATTTTGGCCTCTCCAATCTTGGACTTCGGGGTTTCTAGGATGCCCAGTAGTACCCTTATTCCCTTTTTCTAGTCCTAGGTTCCTTATAAAGTTACTCAATACCAAAAAGGGAGCCCTTTTCATTCCTAGGTTACTGGGCATCCCAGGTTGAGGGTTTAGGGGCTCCTGCGATTGAACTGGCACTCTTTATGGCAGCTTCATGAGTGGAAGGTTCGCTTGGGCAGAAAATGCAAAGCCCTATTCAAGTTATGGAGGCCCTTTATTCCATCGTCATACTACCCTTTGTGGTAGCCCCTTTATAAAAGAAAGCTGACGGAAGCCGTACTCTAATTATTCAGAGCCCAATGTTGCGCATGGACAGAGGACTTGGCCACTCTTGCTCGATCTCCTACACGTTCGGCAACCAGGAGTCTTTGAGCTGTGATTTGCTGGGTTTAGGGCTTAAAGGGAACTCCAGAAAGTTGGAATATGGAATAGTGGCAGGATCCCCTATATTTTACCTTAAAGGGACTATGATAATGATATTCCAACTTTCTGGCTTCTACTGTAGGGTGCTTTTGCTGCTGATGCTCTTGCCGTTTCGAATTACGTTTATATTGCTGGTGTTGCTGTCGCTGTCGCTGTTGCCGCGGCTGTCGCTGCCTAAGGAAGTCTAGTCCCCGAATGTAGGGACTTGGTTAAGAAACCTTGGGTCTCTATTAGGGTTCTTAGTATGGAACCTACTATTTTGGGCTACTTGAGCCAGGGTCAGGCTCCTACATTAAATCCCCCTCCCCCTTAGGCCCCTAAGTATAATTACTTATAACCCTAATTACGGCACTTATAACCTACTAAGTCCCCTGATCCTCCAAGTAGACCCTAAACCCTAAACCTCTAGATCCCTTTACGGAACCCCTTAGCTCCCCTTAAGGAGCCCTTACTAAGTCCCCTGATCCGCCAAGTATGAAGTTTCCAGGAGCAAGCCGGTGATGGAGGCGGTCTGTTGATCGGCCCCTGGCTCGCAGGTTCAGAGTTTGAGGTTTAGGGTTTATAGGGTTTAGGGTTCAGAGTTTGAGGTGTAGGGCTTAGGGTTCAGATTCCAAAGTTTGAGGTTTAGGGTTTAGGGTTGAGGTTTAGGGCACAGCACCACAAACAGACACAGGGTTTCATTTCAATCTGGGTTGGATTCAACTGCTCCTCTGCCCGCTACACTTCGGAGCCCCGTGACTACCCAGAGGCTCCATAGTAGTTCCTTTTTGGGATTACCTTATAGGATAATTCTATATATATGAAACCCAACAAGGAACTACTATGGAGCCTCTGGGTAGACCCACTTGAAGGGACCTGCCTGCCAGACCAGTGCTTGTGGGGGTGTCAGAGCTTTCGCCTCAGCAGCGAAGGAGTTGGGGCAGCTAGGGTATATATCAGGTCGGGGCAGCTGGGGTCCACATCAGGTCTATATCGTGAAAATAACTTTGAACTTTGGCTTGAGTCCTCCACCCCTAAACCCGCTACTGTCGAGGCCTCGTCATGTTGGTTTCGGAAGCTTCGGGCAGCAGGGGTGCCGGCCTACCCGGATCGAGGTACAGAAACGGTATGCATATGTGTGTGTATCTCTCTCTCTCTATATATATATATATATATAGTACATAATCAACATAAATAAGCAAATCAGTACGTAAATAATACTTAAAGCAACTGAGTAAAAAATGATGCTTAAGTATACACACATACAGATACACATGTTTACATGTGTGTATATATATATATATACACATGTGTTTGTATTTGTATATACTACCCAAGAAGCGGACTACCAACCAAGACAGTAGCAGCAATAAGAGAATCGTAGCAATTGCTACGATAACAGTGCAAGCCGCAGTCTGCCTTTCCAGTCACCGCCGTCCCATTACAGTATCACAGAAGTACCCAGAGGCTCCGTAGTAGTTCCTTTAATGGGTTTCATATATAAAACCCTATAAGGTAATCCCAAAAAGGAACTACTATGGAGCCTCTGGGTATCAGCAAACCGAATTTAGGTAGGTTCCAACACCACGCAACAAACTTCAAGCAGTTCAGCCCTAGATTCATAGTCATAGGAGGCCACAAGGGGTTTTGGCATATGGTGGTTTAGTAGGGATTAGGATTCCTATCCTACCCCAAGAATCTTAAACCCCCCTTTTGGCCTCCCATCAAATATGGCTCACTATGCTAATGCACGCACACAAGAACCGGGAAGCTTCAAGGAGGAACTCTCTGGGGACCTGATGAAGAAACAACTCTGCAGCTCTTTGCCTGATTTCTCGTGTTGCACACTGAAAAACCTTTGATCAGTGCCTTGTCTGTAGTGCTAGTTGCCTGCAGTGTTTTGGAACTTAGGTTGTTTGGTTTTAGGGTGAAAAATGCTCCTTGAGATTATGGGGTTTGGGACTCATCACCCCTAAACCCTAAGCCCTAAAGAGAGCAACATGCATGTCAAGGAACTGCATATTTGTTGTCTGTCTATTTGTGTCTCTGCCTGTATGTTGTCTTTGCAGCTATCTTCGCTTAACTATGCAATATATCGATTTGGTATCACTTGCAACTTCCCTTACAGTTGTAATATAGAGCCCTAAGTGGGCCCTAAGCATACATGATTTTGGGGACTGTTGAAGTCGACTGAAGTGCGTTGGCTTGCATGGGAGTTGCCGAGAATTAGGGCTACCGTATCCCCTATTTTCGGAAACTCCCGCATAGGGTCACTGCGAAGGTTCACTCCAACATCGTTCCCGCCGAACCGCAGGACCTCACCAGCAACCAATCTGGCAGAAATTGGGTATAGAACTCACCAGCAAACAAACTGGCAGAAGTTGGGATATAGGATTTAGGGTTTAGGTTTTGGGATTAGGGGCGCCATGGGGGGGATGGCAGAAATTAGGACGGCAGAACAAAGGACAGGGTTCAGCATGCTTGGGGACTCTATTGGGGGGATCCTTGCGTGTAATAGAGGGTTTGCACGGGATACTATAGTACAAGAGTATACAAGAGGAATGTGATTTCTTCGAACTTCAAGCTTCTGATTCTTGCAACTGACTCCCGTTCCATCTCATGAAAAGAGCTTCCGAGTCGAACAACCGAGGTTCTAGGTCCAGGTTTCGGATTGTTGGGTTTGAAGGAGACCCTAAGGCGATCCTAAGTCCTTTATGGCTGCGGCTTCTATCCTTAGCCTCAAAGTCTCCATGTAAACGAATAGTATATACTTAAGCTTAGGCCTTAAAGTACCTATATAGGGACCGCTTCAAAGGCGTAAGTACCTACTACATGGGCACATGGAGTCTTAGGGAGCTTCGTTAAGTAGATGTTAGAAGCTGCCCCCACCCTGTAATAGTGACTATAAGGATTATATATGATTATATTAGGGCCCTATTGTATTCCTATTATACCACTATTACAGGGTGGGGGCAGCTTCGTTAAGTAGATGCGCCTTACCTGACTTTTGCAGCTGGTGCTCAAGTCCCTGGAGGGATCCGCAACTGGGTACTCAGAATTTACGCCGCCCTAAATCCTAAACACTAAACCCTAAACCCTAAAACCTTAAACCCTAAACCCTAAAGAAAAGTCACAGTACCTGAAACCCCAAAGAAATTCGAACCAGATCTTTCTGAGCACCTCCGATCGTCAACCCTGGACACCCAAAGGCCCTCAACCTCAGCACTGCCATCCTTATCTCATACCCGACCTAGAGTCTCCACTGTAGTTCCGAGTTTTACGGTTAGGATCCTAGAATAGAGATTTTGGTCAGCCAAAATAAGGAACTACAATGGAGACTCCAGGCAATTCCTCAGCCATCAACCGCAGTCATTGCCATGCACCATCTTCCAGGGCTGTAGCTCAACGTCCCTAAACCCTAAACCCTTAGATCCCTAAACCCTAAACCGTGGGGGCTTTGAAGCTCAAAGTTTGGAGCAGCGCGGGGCGTGGGACTGAGACTCGCCCTTTTCTGGGCGAAGCGCAGGCAGACTTCAGAACGGGTTTAGGGTTCAGTGGTTCAGGGTTTAGGGTTCAGGGGTTTAGGGTTCACGGTTCAGGGGTTAGGGGTTAGGACTTTAGGGGTTTAGGGTTTAGGGATTTAGGGTTTGGGGTTTAGGGTATGTTCTGTGAACCTGTCTTTCCTTTCGGCCAGCCCTTCCCAAACTGTCACAGCACCCCCCGATGCGTGTTCACATGAAGATCTCTATGCTGCGTCGGATTTTTGTTCTTCCGTTTCCGAAGTGGACGTTGTCGGTGATGTTTCTGAATGTAACAGAGCTCTCTGACTTTATCCCCCAAGGCTCCATATATCCAAAATAGTAATTATACACTTACAGGCCTGAAAGTACCTATATAGGGACCCCTTCAATGCCTAAGTACCTACTATATGGGCACATGGGGTCTTAGGGATCATTATGCAGGAACATTGTGTAGCGCACGTCCTGGACTCCATTGCGCCCCCGCCCTGAAGCTCGCAGCATTGTCATTAGTGAGTGCTTCTGTGGTGTCCTACGTTTAGGGTTTTAAGGTTCAGGGGTTGAGGGTTTTGGGTTCAGCTTTTAGGGTTTTGGGTTCTAGGGTTTAGGATTTTAGGGTTTGGGGTTGCTTTCTGACAGTGTTCCCTCAGCTCATGCCTCATACGCAAAGGTTAGGCAATTCGAGCCCGAACGGACCCTGAACTGACTCAGTCCCAAAGGCACGGCACAGAGATTCGGCACTTTGGGAATGCGCGGCCAATCGTCGTCCGACGTCACAGGTAGTGCGTGACCGGCATGGCATTAATGGGCAGCGAAATATAAGGTCTGAATGAGAATTATTAGCCCCCCCGTAAATCCCACAGACAGAGACGGAAACGAACATATATATATATATATATATATATGTATGTATATATACATATATATACATATATAAGATGTGTATAAATATGTATACACATATCTACTTAGTTATGCTACCGCTGAGTATGCCGACTATCGGCCCTAAGCATACCGACCATCGGCCCTATCAAGTTTTAATGTAATTACACTCCGTCTATAATAATTAGCACGTGCTATTATATACCCCCGTCCCAGATGCCGTAATTAGTTCAGTCCTCAGGGGGCCCCTAACATAGTTTCGTGCAGCGAACGTAAAAGCTGCATGGGCGTACATGCATGGCATCGAGACGGGGCCACATCGCCACTACGTGTCATTCAACGAGTCTCTGTAACTACGGTTTAGGATTTAGTTGAGGCTTTATGCTTGACCTGTAGCCAAAAAGACCTACTTGTTTAGGGCTCCTTGCTATGATGCCTGTATATATAGTTCCTTAAAACGGTAGGCCCTTTTGGCCCGAGATAGAGTTGCCGGGTTTCGTGCTTTAGGGACCGCCTCCTTCAGCCAAGCAGCTCGAGAACTTCATCCCCGGCTGGTCGTTGTATGTTCGCCAAGACAATCCTAAGTGTCCAGAGGACCCATACAGTAAGTTATATAGCGGCCTGAATAATTAGAATAGGCTTTTGGGGCCCAGTAACATAGAATTATAACAAGGAGCCCTTAAAATGGTATAGGTAATTATTTAGGCCCCTACATTTTGTACTTGGGCGCTGGATAATGGAATATGGGTGTGGGAGCGTGAGTGGTTGTTAGGTGCTCGGACCGTTCAGGGCACCTGAAACCTTATCCTACACCATCATGGATCCCTTAAGGGAACCCTGCACTGAGAACCCTTAGAGGAGCTTGTAGGTGCAAGATCCTGTTGTCCAAGAGCCGGCATGTGAGTCTAGGCTTTGGTTGGGGTTTAGGCTTTGAGTTTCCCCAACTTGAAACCACATCCCCCAAAGCTTCCAATCACACACACACACACACCCCAAATCTAGCAGAACGTAAGTAGCAATAACAATAAAAAGAACCAGCAGAATGAAGAATGACAGCAGTCACAATCAAAATAACACTAGTCACTGGCAATAATGATACGAATATCATTGATTTTCAATAGTAGCTATAAGTCCATTTA